TCCACGTTGGCCACTCCTGTTTATTTATACATCACACACACACTCACACACACATGCAAATACACTCTCAGCTTGTCTTCAAAATAAGAAGAAAAAACTGTTGAATAACAGTTGTTGATTTTTATTATTTTTTTACTTTTTACTTTTTATAGCAACTTTATTTTTATTTTTCATGCTTTACGTGTCCACGTCCATGTGTGTGTGTGCGCGTGTGTGTCTGCTAAGTTCCTTTTGGCCTAATAGCAGCAGCAACAAGGCACAACGACAACAGTTTCGCTTAACTTTAATTTACAAACTGGAAAGGCGGCTGGTGAGAGGGCGTGGCTTGTGACAAAGGCCAAAGCTGACTCAGCGCGTCATGTGCGTTTAGCTAAAGTCAGGCTTTGGGCTTAGACTCTTCTAGATGGGGAAAAAACCAAACACACATCATTGCACTTCGAGGTGATAAATAAAGCCAAAATTTAGCTGATTTCCAGCTAAAAAAGAATTCATTTCTCGGACAGTTTTATGCTTACGCAGAAGTCATAAGTCGTAAACAATGCCACGAGCGCTCTTAAAAATCAACTTAAACTCAAGAAACGATTCATGTGATTTTTGGCATTTACTGCATGAGAGCTTTGAGCTGCTGTGCAACTCACAACTGTGCTTTCATTGAGCAACGTCTCTAGCCTTGAGGAATGTGTTATTATTTTTATATTTTAATGTGCTTTCATGCTACACAAAAACTCAACAAAGTCCCATTAGCCATCTGATCTTAAGATTTCTCAGAGTTAACTAAAAGTAAAAAGTCGATGCGTTTATTGATGCGCATCTTACAAGTTTATAATTATTCGCATTGTCTCGAGTGTCCTTCGATCGTGTACCCGCCCCCAGCCCCCTCTCTCTCTCTCGCTCTGCCGACATCCTGGAATTATTGTGGCTTTTTAACGTGGCTCGTTTCGGGGCTGGTAACTTGATCAACGTGACCTCGGCATAACTTGGCTTGACTCATTTTCATCTCTGCCCGACTCAGCTCTCGTCTCTCGACTAAATTCTGGGCAATCATCAGGCGACGATCACTTGAAACTTAATCGCCACCGCCAGCGTCGCCATCTCCAAGGCCACAGCACAAGAAAAAAAAACAAGTAAAAAAAGAGCAACAGAAAATTGCGCCGTAATAATAAGAGGGGGAACACGAAATGAAAAGAAAAGAAAAAACATAAAAAAGGTAAAACCCAATGCCTAAATTACATGATCATATTTGGGCAAAGGCACTTACCTTATGTTTATATAGTATATATGAAGTAAGCACAGATTTTGCCAAGAGGATCGCTTCCCGGTTCGCTGGCCCATGCTGCACTTTTTGCTGTTGCTGTAGACGCTGAAGAATTTGTCAGATGCGATTTGGCTCGTTTCATTATTCAATTGCAAAGTCAACTGAAAATAGTTATCGTTCAATGCTAATTAGTAAATCGATTGATCAAGCGATCTAAAATGATCGCTGGGCGGAAAATTTGACTTATTTTTAAACCTGATTTCAGTTTGAACGAGTTTTAAAGCGAATTTGAATTGGAAATAAAATTAAACAAAAACTTTAAGCTTTACATTACGTTATGAACGTTCAAGCATGCAAAATATTCAGGAATTCAAATTGGCTGCGAGCCGGTTCGCTTTCAGCTTCAAATTCCAGTGCTTATTGCCCTGAACAAAAGCCCCGAAGAATTTTTGGGGTAAAAGAGCAACCGAAACCTAAGTAAAGAGAAGAAGCCTACTTGAATCTTCTACTGAACCATATTTGTATCTTGGGCAGAGCAGAAAATTCGTTTAAATAAAATTCAAATCAACTGAATCGAAAGAAGAGTTTTACGCCGACCCGAACCGAACCAGAGTATAAACCGAACCTCAATCGAAGCCGAACCTCAGTACAATTCTTAGGTCGAGCCGAATCTGTGTGCAAATGCTATCTAAACGGAACTCTTGGCTGAACCGAACCTGAATCAAAACATCACTAGAACCAAGTCTTGACTACGCCGAACTGAACTTGAACTGAACTCTCAACTGAAACATCTAAAGTTAAGTATGGAAAGAACAAAATATTGAATCGTGAGCTGCTGAACCACACTGCAAACTGCTTTCCATCAGACTTGCGATGCAAGCGAAATACCCTAGGTTTGTTCACATTTTACGAGCTTATGGTCTACCCATATAGATGTGTGTAGTGCCTTTAAGCTAAATGCTGAACCAGTTTAGTGGGGCGCTAGTGGCTGGACTTTCAAATGTCGTAGCTCATAACCCGAATCCAGATACAATTATTCAATAAAAATGCCCAAGATTAAGTTTCTCAGCTAAAAGATCGCATTTCACGTAAAGCACTTGATAAGCTTTTTCGCTGAGCCAAACGAAAGTGCATTTTGCAGAAGAAGCGGCGCGCTCTGAAGCATTTCACTTTTCAACAGAGACAGGGATGGAGATAGGGACGGAGGGGGAGAGAGCTAAAAATGTGGCATAAATGATAAAAATTGCATAAATAGGCAAATGAACAACGGTTAATCAATAAGCCAAAAGATTGAATAATAATATTTACAGCAGCAACAACAACTATCTTGAGATTGCGCGAGTTGGTCAACTTGGTCAACACGCAGCTGGCAAAGCCGGCCGGAGTTGAAGCCAAATCTTTGGCATAATTTACATGACGATCATCTGCGCTGATTGCCGGATTCGAGTTCGTTTTTCGTATTTTGTATTTCGTATTTCGTATTCGGGTTTTTTGGGCTCGGCTCCACTTGGCTTGGGTTGGCTTTGGCGCTGTCCTGCTAATTGCAGCTAAAGCGTAGCAAAGCAGCGGCCAACGCGTCGTATGCGTAATGCGGTTAATCAACGCTGCCAATGAACAAGCCGACGTTGCTCTTTAATGATCATTATGATAGCTTGCTGTTGTTGCTGCTGCTGCTGCTGCTGCTGCTGATGATGATGATGACGACAAACGGCCTTGAGGCCAGCAGCAACAGCAGCAACAGTTAACCAGTTTGCGCTTATGAAATAGCAGCAAAGAAAGACAGACTAAGCAGAGACTAGAGAAGGAGAAGGAGAGAGGGAGAGGGGGAGAGGGGGAGAGGTTAGTCTCGCTGTATGTGTGTGCGCTGCAGCTTTGCGCATAGTGAAGAGTGAAGAGTGAAGTCAAGCAGAGCGTCGTGCTGCAGAGAGCACCCCGAAATGCAAGTGAATGTCGCTGGGTTTTGCCCGCAGCAACAACAATCAGAGCGACAGCAGCAAAAACAGAAACAGCAACATTAACAGTAACAGCAACAACTATGCAAGCAACAGCAACAGGAGAAGCAATAGCAAGACAACAATTTAAGCAACAGCAACTGAAATGGCAATAGCAACAGCAACTAGTAGAAGCAGCAGCAACAATACAAAGCTCAGCAATGGCAACAGTGACAGCATTAACAGTTCAAGCAATTGCAACAACAGCTGCAACATCAAGAGCACAAGCCAACAAGAGCAGCAGCAAGAGCAACAGCTAGCAGCAACAATCGAAGCTACATCAAAACTTACAGCAACAACAACAACAGCAAGATCAGCAGCAACAATTACAGATAGAGCAACAACAACAATAGCCAATAGCAGCAGCAACAACAACTAGCTACTACAGCAACGATACATGGCAACAACAATGAGAGCAATAGCAAATACAACAGCTTCAACCAGCAGCAGCAACAGCAACATTAGCAAGTGCTGCAGCTAAAACTGAACTTCCTAGTATCGATGCAGCGCCATTGAAAACGGCTACATATCAGAAAGTATAGCACGACAACAGCAGCAGCAGCAGCAGCAATAGTCGTCAAAGCAATAGCAACAGCAACAGCAACAGCAACAACAACAGCAGGTGTGAATGATTTAGTGTTAACATGGCCATAACCAAAGCCAAAACTCCTGGCAGTAGAGCCGCTGCTGCTGCTGTTGCCGTCTCTGTTGCTCTGGTTTATGCTGTTGACGTCGCTGCCGCTGCCGCTGCTGCTGCTGCTGCCGGCGATCGCTGGCAACGGCAACGACAACGGCAAAGGCAACGGCAACGGTTTTCGATGTCTGTTGCGTTCATCATTTTGCCATTTCACGTTCAGCTGGCAGCGAAATCGAAAGTGATTGCTCCGTGAGCTGCGAGCCAAGATCGAAGTTGGAACATTTTTGAAGATCGCAGAAGTAGAAGAAGAAGAAGCAAAACAGCCCAAAAGTAAAAATAAATATTTAAAAAAGAAAAAAAATCAACTAAAGTTAAATTAAATAATAAAAAGACGTGAAGCCAAGACCAAGACCAAGAGGAAGACGTTTGCGTGGTACAAATGCAGAGCGTGCGTCTGTGTGTGTACGAGTGTGTGTGTGTGTGTATGTTTGTGTGTGTGTGTGTAGGTTTGGCCATATAAAGGCAGCCGCTACAAGTGCCGCGACTTCATTGCAAATGCGACGCGAACAAAAATCAAAACTAAAAAATTAAAAAATAAAAAATTAAATATTTTAAATGTGCATTCAAATTAAATTTATAAATATTTACATCTTTTTATTTTAATTTTTTTTTTCTTTTGGAATTAATTTGAAATACACACACTCACACACACGCACACACACACACGCACACACATGCAAATATTGTAATTGATTTTTGTGTTCAATAACAAACAACAAAAAAAAAACAAACAAAAAATAGTAAAAAAAATGTGAAAAGTGAAAGTGCAACCATGTGAATAGTAACAACAACAACAACCACATCGAGTAAACAAATAAACAACAACAACATCTATTGATGGCCAATGTTGCATTTAAGTTCGAGGAAGCAAATAATAAAAAAAATTTAATTTAATTTTTCTTAATTGTTTTTTTTTTCGTATTTTTTTTCATTTTTTTATAGTTGAACATTTGACTTTCAGCAGTGCAAATTAAATAATTAACAACAAAAAATAACAACAATTAATAAAAAAAAGCTGCAGCAGGTGCCAACGCAACAACGACAACAACTACAACAATTACAGCAACAACAACAGAAGCCAAAATGCTGCTCAAAATGTGAGTATGAAGAGTGAAAGAAGAAGAATCATTAATAGTGTATATAGATATATAAAGGAACGGCTGGCCGACTATTTAATACACTTGCCATGCTGCAGCTGCGGCGCTTTGTGTTTACTTTCTTTATTATTTTTATTTATTTTAATTTTTTCATTTTCATAAATTTTAATTTTGATTTTATTTTTATTGGAATGAAATATGCCTAACATATTTTTTTATAAATTAAGTGGGCTTCAGAAAGAAAAAATTAACAAAATTTTAGTCCTTCATAAAAATAGTAGTGGCTACTAAAAAATGTAATGTTTTTATTATTAATGTTTTCATTTATCTTTATGCTAAGCTAACCTAACAGATCTATTATTATGAGCTATATATATAATAATATGAAAGAAAGTTGTAAATTCATTCTTATTGAAGATCTTTTCAAGCAAACAGCACAATCAACCATGATCAAGAGAGTACATGATAAGACATAGGCATTATCCGACTAGACAGTCTTCAAAGCTTGCAGTTTTATGACAATTTCATAAAAAAAAACATATTCCTTAGAGTATGAAAAAACCTGCTCATAAAATATTGCATATGAAAAGTCATAAAAAAGTTGAATACATCAAAGGGTCAAGGGTCATGGGTCAATGGATGAAAGCGATTATCATTTACTATTAATTAAAAAGGATTTAGCCAATTGTCATTTAATAGAGCACAGAATCAACACCAACACACACACACACACAGATGCTTAATATTAATATTATAAATAATTAAACTGCAAAATGAGCAAAACCGAATTTATCTGTTTTGATAATGGAAATGAACTCATAATTAATTTGATCGTAAGAGTTTCACTGATTTGTGGGAGTGAAAAGCCGAGGAAGAAGTTGCTCAAAGAATATGAAAAGTAAGCGCTGAAAGGAATCAAGCAAACGCATTAAATATTTAGCTCTATATGCCATATAATTGTCTCGATATGTAGAGTTCATTTTATATAGAAGGCAATTCTTGATTAATTAAAAATATAAAACTAAATTAAAAAATAGAACCCAAGAATATATCTTATGCCAGCGGTACCAGCAGATAAGCCTAGCTCTAGCTAATGCTCAAATAGGTCAAATATTAGTGTAACGATTCAGCCGGCTCTGACTTACATCTCTCTCTGATGCCATAAGATATTGCTGCACAAAATTTTATTAGCCTAGCTCTACCCAATACTCAGTTCACATAGTTAGGACAGGGCTAAGACCAGATAAAATAAGCAAAACTTAAATATACATTTCTTATGGGCTTGCATCTTTTTATGCATGCATATATTGCGTAATTTAATTACTTATAAATATATATATATATATTTAAACATGCCCTCGACAAGGTTAACAACAGGTTTATCTTTCAAAATGTTCAAATTAAAATTATCATATATTTATTTATTCATTTAATATAAAATAAATTTTTTGTTTTGAATAGCTAGTCAAAGACTAAAAGCAAACGACCTTCTGCAATATAACTGAAAATTTGATTTATTGAAATTTTCAAAAGATAAGAAGATAAAGCGTAGAAAAAATGTTACGAAAGCAATCAAAACTTTGGGCTAAAAAATTGAGTTCAATTTTGATTTTCGTTTTTAGCATTTTGTACATTAAACGAACTTTGCCGTATATAGTTTTTAGTAATGCACAGCTACGAGCGATGGCCGAGACACGCCTCTACACACACACACACTCTTTTTCATACACACCTTCACAATCTTTTGAGCACATTGCGTATACGCAACGTTTGACCAAGTTTATGGCTGGCTGCATTCCACACCTCAGGTATTGGTTGCAGGAGCTGCTTTTAACAGCCCGAGTGGTCAGAGTGGCTGTTTATACACACACACACACACACACACTCATAAGCATTGGTTAAACTGTGCACAACAATGTTTGAAGCTTTAGCTAATCCATCCGGCTTATGGTGGAGCGCCAGTGCCCTGCCTTCCATAGTCTACATGTCATGTGTGCTCACATTGTAAGCAGAGCATAAAAATTTCAGAAGATGCTGTGGCATGTGTGTGGAAGCCTGCGCGTGTGTGTATGTTGCACAGTGAAAACAGCTCATGGATTTGGCATGCAGATTGTTGGCCTTGGCTGGACAAGTTTTTGCTGTTGGCTAAATGGACAGGCTGACAGACAGAGAGACAGACTGAAAGACAGCTAGTCAATCAGCTAGTTAGTCAGTCAGTTAGTCAGTCAGTCAGTTAGTCAATCAATTTAATATGACTGCAGCGTGGCAGCGTGGACAGGCCAAAAGCCTCAGCTAATTGCCAAGCCAAGGCAGGCGGCGGCTGCGACTGCGGCTGTGTCTTGCTCGCTCGCTCTCGCACGCAGGCGTGACAAAAGGTCAGTTAGTCAGACGGTCTTTTGAAGACAACATGGCCAAAGGCATAAGAAGTCAAAAACCTTTTGGCTAAACAGACACAGCCAGTAATGCAACGGCAGCAGCACCACCAGCACCACCACCACCAGCAGAAGAAACCCAAACCAAACTTATTTTACATTTCATGGCTCCGTTGTTTGTTGTTGCTGTTGTTGTATGCTTCACTGCGCTTCCAGCGCTTGTCGCGACGTCAGTGGCCTCCAAGTGGCGTCTATAAAATATACACAAGACACAGACACACACACGAACACACACACATGTGCAGCACATCGACAGCCGCCGCCAACGCAGCCGCCGCATCAAATGGCCAAAAAGAAACCGTCAAAACGCATGCGCAGCGGCTTAAGAAAAAATCACATTTGGAATTGCCAAATGTGAAATACAAATTGCATGCCACACCCGCTAAGACAGCTGAGCAGCGCCGCCTCCCCCGCCCACACTTCCCAGCCGCTGCAATGGGCAATTGGCAATTGGCCTTTCCAAAACGGGCTCGAAGAAGACAATGGTGCCGGGCTTCGAAAAAGCGGCTACGACTTTGGCCTGTGTCTCGGCTGTGGCTGGCGCATTCATTAAGTCATTCACACTCACACTTACATTCGCTCATACACTCACTCGTCCATTCACGCAGGCATTCAGTTAGTCAATTGCACATTCGCCTGGCCCAACGACGGGTACTCCTAATACACTTACATCAGTAGTGCTCAGTGCCCCGTTACTTGACACACACACACACACACACACACACACACACACACACCCATAGGCAGTTAATCAGTCATTCACATTCACAACACTTTGTTAAGTGCTCTCTGACATTGTCAAAGACAGTGGGGCAAGGCCAATAGAAAATGTCATGAAATTTCTCGATTCCTTGAACGAGGGAAATTAATTCAAAATATTTCTATAAAATAGAATGTTGAAGCGGAAGTGAAAGGCAGTTCAATTATTGAATGCTAGTTAACACATAGAGGGGCGTGGCCAGCCTTGCATTAATGCGAAAGTCAAGTAACAAACGTAGAGAGAGAAGAAAGAGAGAGGAAAGGGTAGAGTCAAAGGGTGACATTGGGGACAAGATTATATTGCGCTCAAGCAAAAATCAATCGATTACATAAAGTTATCGATACTTTTGCAGATGCATGAAACACAGTAAGATACAGTTATAGACATAATTCAGCAGAAAATGAACATATTCATAAATATGTAACAAGTTTTTTATGCACACAACGATAGATACAAGTTATCGATAACTTTTAAGTTCTGGCAAATATCATAAGACACAATCAAGCAGTCAGATAGATATGCTTATATAGCCATGTGACAAGTATCTATATAAATGTTAGCCATTCCCATATATCATTTAAATAGACATCGTTAAGTACAAGTTATCGATAGTTGCTATAGATATGTATAGATAGATATATATAATTTTATTTATTTATAATTTTATTTTTAGTTGGGTAATACTTAGCTTATGTATATTCCAGACTATAATTTATAATATAAATATTCAGTTTCAAAACTATTTGTAGTTTGATTGACCCGCTCCCTGTCCTCAAATAGTTCTTAAGCTTTTCAAGTGCTCAAGAAAGTATTATTTTTGTTGGCTTTGAGTGTGGTATATTGGCTTATTTCGTACCACTGTGCCATAGCCAAATTATTGCACATTGTGCGCTGCTGTTGAGAGGTGCGCTGTGCGCATTATCACCTCATGCATAACATGGCCAAGAAGTCGGACAACTGCCCTAAGTAAACGAAAAACAATCAAGAAAAGGCAACATTTTTGCTTTCAATCCCTGCCTCTGCTGTAGAGTCCCCTCTGTACCATCCTTTCTCGTTGTCTTCCAAACAATTTGCAGTGTGATGTGTGTAGACATAATTATAACTTTTCTTAAGCTCCATTGCTGTTGTTGTTGCCTGGGCTATTTGGGCTGCCTTTGGTTGTTGTTGCTGTTGCAATTAAAATAAGTTGAAGTTGTCTACCTTTACAACGAGCTGTTGCTGCCGCTATTGCTGCTGCTGCTGCTGTTGCTGTTATTGTCGAAACTTGTTCAAGTGAAACATAAAAAACTAAAAAAAAAATGTTAAGCGAACGGCTTCAAACAACGCGATGCCAACTGCACATAATTCAAAATGTTAAAAGTTATCGTCAAGAGCGTGCAGAGAGTAAAGCTATATATCTGTCATACACACACACACACATACTTATATAGATATACTTATATATATATCGAACCGACCCGTCGTCTGCTCTTTAAATATCGCACAGAGTCGTGTCGAGCTGTTTGCCGGCTTTGGCGTCTGGTTTCTACGAACGAAATCGAAATGGAAATTGAAATCGAAATCGAAATGGGTTAACACCTATGGCACGGAACCGGTTCCAGTTCATATTTGAACACACTCACATTTAACTGACTCCTGTCGGATTTGCCCTATGGCCAATTTAGTTTAGGTGGTTTGCCTTGAGCATTCTCCTGCTCTCTCTCTCTCTCTCTCTCGCTTTCGCCCCTCACTCTTCTCTTTATTAGCATTTACCAACTGTTTACCTATCTATTTTGTATGTTGAATGCATTGCAATGCGGATTCGCAAATCCCAATGAACTATTGCTGCAATTGCACGAACAACGAACCAAGATCCATCCGTTAGACAAGGCGATTGCATGCGCAACACCCAAGATAAAGATAGAGACGGAGAGAGAGAGAGAGAGAGAGAGAGAGAGAGAGAGGGGTGGAGGTGATCGCAGCTGTAAACGTTGTGGATGCCAGACAGCATGGCTAATGAAATTGTGAAAGGTATTTCGAGACTCAAGCAACAACATCAAATGAAGCAGCACAAAGACTCTTCGGCTATGGCCCCAAACATGATCAGTCATTAAAAGCACGCGATGATCTTGGGCTAAGCCAAATCAATCAACACTTCGAGCTCAGCCACACCAATATTTTCTTTGTTTGCTTCGTTTTCTGCTTCTTTATTAATTTTGGGTGTTGCTTGCTCAAATGAGTCAATTATGATCAATTTTGATTATGCCTGTAGACTTAATGAAGGGAAGTCGTGTGGGCAACCTAATGGGAAACTAGATCAAGGGCTGGCCAATTAAAACTCCGCCGTTCGCTTGGATTAGCGCAGGTTTATCCAATTAGTTACATAACAAAATGAGTCTTTAATTAACGCCTAAGTCGCTATGAGTTAATATTTACTTTATCGTCTAGGATCTATAGTCAGTACTCCTTAGTCTTATCTCAATGTTCCACTCTCTTTGCTTTGCAGTTGTCTAATGGGCTGCCTGGCGCTACTGGTGGCCAGCGAGGAGCTGGCTGTAGGAGCATCAGAGAATATTGAAGCGAATGCGCCGGCAACAAGCGAATTCGAGACATCGCACAAGGTGCCGGGGGCTAATGTGTTGAGCGACGAGGGTTTCCACACGGCGCACAGGATTAGCATTCGGGCCGCAGACACAGACTACTCCATGAATTTGCTGGCTACCAAGGAGCGGCCCGAGCTGAATCCAGTGCTCAGTGCGCTGATCAACGAGGACGTAATGAAGAGCATCGAGGCGAAGCGTGCCATCGAGGAGGAAGAGCTGGCCGAAGTGAAGCGCGAAGTTGAGCAAGCAGCGCTCGCCGAGCTGGAGCTGAAGAGCACCGGCGCTGGCGTCACAGAGCAGCCCACCCTGCAGCTAACCACACAGCCTACGGCAGCCAAGAAGATCGACAATCTAGATGATGACATGGTGGTCGATCCGCACGACGACTTTGTCAACCAGAACTTTGCACTGGATGGCGCTGGCAGCGAGAACAACAAGAAGTCACGCATCGAGATCAAGAAGGGACCCAACGGCCAGGACTACGAGTACGAGTATGTCTACTACTACGAGGAGGACGAGGATGCTGACAGCAAGCCCAAAGCAGCTATCGATGCACCCGCTGCCGTCGAGGCACCCGCTGATCTGACGCCCGAGACGCGCGGCAAGACACGCTATTCCAACATCGATCGCAGCACTCCGGCCACACCCAGCGAGAACAGCCTGCAGACCGGCAAGGCCAAGGGCAGGGCCTCGAATGCCGTCAGCCCCGACAACACCGAGGATATTGAAGCGGAGCGCTTGCCGTTGAACACGCGCTTCCCCAGCCGGGGCAAGAATATCGACGTGCAGCCAACTCCGGCGCTGGATTCGCTGGAAACGGCCGCAGAGCGTAAGAAGATTAGTGTGAAGCGTCCCAGCCTGGAGCTGGTCGACAGCGAGACTTTCAACACTGACGAAAAACAGTTGAAGGGTTCACGCAACGGCGACAAAGAGCTGAAGCCCGTGATAGCCGTCGAGCAAGAGCAGGCAGCAGCTGCTGCAGCAGCAGCCGCCGCCGCAGCCGCCAAGCAGGAGGAAGAGCGCGATATAACGGCCAAGCTGGATGATGAGGCTGAACAGACGACACCGTCCATGGAAAAGGCCGCACTTGATCTCTATGCCATACTCACCAACGAGAATCTCAATAACGATGAAACCACCGCAGCGGACACAAATGATGAAACCACTTTGAGTCCCGATACCGCCAGCACAGATAGCGATGATGCGGACTTGACCACGCTGCAGGATGAACTATCCTCGACAACGACAACCACGACAACAACAACGACAACCACCACAACCACCACCGAGGCACCCACCACCACAACGACAACAACAACGACAGCAGCTCCGTCGCTCTTTGGCGGCAGACGCGCAGGTCTCAGTGGTCTGGCTGGACGCAATCGGTTCAAGCTGCGCGACAGTCAAGGCGCCAGCACCACCACCACAACCACCGAGTCAACGCCCACTGAACCCACCAAAACAGGCAGAAGTAAGTAGTATACAAATTGCCAAAGAAAACTCTAGCTTCAGAAGAACAAAAACTAGTTCATATAGAACACGAAATGGTTCATCATTGACTCATTGTGGTTCATTCGAAACACAAAGCAAATTTTAAGTTTTCATTAATAAATGTTTTTCCGCAGATCGCTTCTCACGTCCCTCAATTGGCGGACGCTCCCGTCCAGGTGCGCGCACCACCGCCAGCCCCGAGCCCGCAGCGGAACCTGCTGTCGAGGAAGAAATTGTGGCCGCGAAGGAGGTGAAACCCGTTAGCTCCGGCTTTGCACGTGGCAGACGTAAGTGGAGTTAGAGTTTCCAAATTACGCTGGTAGCTAAGTTCCAGTTGTGAACTATTATGGTTCACTTTATTTAGTAGTTCAATTGGTTCAGTGCTTCACAAGCTCACGACTTGACAGAGTCAACTCTAGCTTCTGATCAGTGATCACTAATCATTGAAGTCTAGTATAAAGATGACTCATGTCTCACTTTTATCTTGCAGCACGCAACCGCTTCAATCTGCGCGGAGCCAGCACCACCACCACCACCGAGAAGTCGGCCGACGCTGAGGAGGGAGGCAGCGATGCCAGTTCAGCGGATGCCGCGCCCAGCAGCACAACAGCACGCAGCACACTGCGCAATCGTCCCGGCTTGAATCTGCGCGGACGCAGTCGCACGACCACAACGAAGGCGCCTGCTGCCGATGGAGCTGGCGCTGAGGAGGCCACGGATGAGGGCAAGGCAGCGGCAGCAGCGCCTGCCGCCGAGCCCGTGCGTCCGTCCCGCTTCAATTTGCATCGCGCTGGCGGCAACCGCTTGCTGCCACGTGGCAAGCTGGGACGTGCCGGTGTAAGCACTGAGGCGCCAAAGGAGACGGCCGAGGACTCGGCAGCCGATAGCAGCAGCCATCACAACGACGTGAAGGGCACCGAGGGCACAGCGGAGGGCGGCAGCGACACAGCCGCCGAGAAGACTGACGAGGGCGATCAAGCAGCCAATCATGCTGGACCGGTATCCAGCTTCAATCGCCTCAAGAACCGACCGCGCCTCAATGCGCTGCATAAGACTGACGCGGCCAAGCAAAAGGCAGCCGCTGCTGCTCCTGGGGCAGCTGCTGGCACAGCTCCAGTTGCAACAGCACCGCGCAAAATCAATCCGCTGCTAGCCAAGCGCCGTCTGCATTTGGGCGCAGCGGCTACCTCAACCACAGGTAAGCCACAGACAGCTCTCAGCTTCCGCCCAATTACTTTAACCACATTATTTTACAGAGACGCCCGCTGAGAGCGGCGACGGCGCCGATGCGTCCGGTGAGCAGGCCGGTAAGGACGAGCAAGCGGCGTCCGCAGCATCCAGCTCAGATGAAGTAGCCGGCGATGCGGCCAAGGAGCAGGAAACCACAGAGGCTGCGGAGGCAACCACCAAGCAGCAGGCGCGTGGCTTGGGACTCCTTGGCCAGCGTCGTCGCTTGCCCCTGCGAAAGCCAGGCACCATACTGTAAAGCCCCTCAAATGACACAACACAAACAGCAGCAGCAGCAGTAGCACGCCCCACTGCCACTGCCACTGCCAAAAGGCGGAAATGAAAGTTTGCAACGGATGTGGCAGTTGCCCCAAATCCTGTTCCCTAATTCCCTATATATTCCAACCTCTTGCCCCGCCATTTGCGCCTGCCAAGCCCCTCCCCACTCTCTGTATCTCTCTCTCTTCCGCTTTGTCTAGCTTTCCCTTCCATTTGCTGCTTTCCTCCTAATTGGTTGGTACGCACCATCCAGACCCAGCGATAATAATTTTTACAATTTTTCCCCTATTTGCAAAATGTTTTTCTTTTACTACAAATATTTTGCATAGGTTCCCGCGCCCTGTCCAACTTTTTTGTTCTGTTCTTAAAACGCAATTAGCTTTTTACACATACAATAATTAAAATAAAATATTGAAATATTATTTAAGTTCCCCCTCTCTTTGCGAAAAATAACAAAAAAGAAAAAACACGAAAAGTCACCAAAATGAATGAAGAAATAAAAGAAAATGTAAAGCAAAAGCGAGCCACATTTAGAAACATAAGCCGAATTGATATATGGCATATATGATATATATATGATATAAAATATGATGATATTGTATGATATATGATGTATGATATATGATATATGATATATGATATATGATATATGATATATGATATATGATATATGATATATGATATATGATATATGATATATGATATATGATATATGATATATGATATATGATATATGATATATGATATATGATATATGATATATGATATATGATATATGATATATGATATATGATATATGATATATGATATATGATATATGATATATGATATATGATATATGATATATGATATATGATATATGATATATGATATATGATATATGATATATGATATATGATATATGATATATGATATATGATATATGATATATGATATATGATATATGATATATGATATATGATATATGATATATGATATATGATATATGATATATGATATATGATATATGATATATGATATATGATATATGATATATGATATATGATATATGATATATGACATACGACATATGATATATGATATATGATATATGATATATGATATATACCATGCATCATATATCATATATAAGACATATAATTTATAATATATCAAAAGTACGTCATATTTCAGATATCATATACATGATATATCTTATATATGAAAATTCCACACTTGGACTATACAAAGATCTTAGGATCCCAGATATACTAAACTATGAATCGTGTGTGAATGCTAAGATATGTCGCAATATCCACTCTTCCAATTCCCTCACTGTCTCGACTATTTTTTTTTTGATACAATATAAACAAACGACTTTTAATTATATATTTTTAAATAAAAAAATTGAAAAAATTAAAAAAATAAGTAAAAACGCTTAAGTAAATATTTATGGACAGGGTTGCAGCAATATTGTATGCAACAAGTTTTTCTATATTTAAACTTAGTCTTGTCTTGCGAGCGAATCTTACTTATTCTGTCTGTTGACAAGTGGTCAGCCCCGGTAGAGGAAAAACAAATGGACAGCCCTGTGCAGCAGCCTGCATTTATTTATCTCATCTGGCTTCTGAAGCCTTTGACAAGTGGGCAGCGCCATCAGTGAACATCAAGTGGATAGCCCCATGCAGCGAAGTTTCAACTACTATGAGTATAAATTGGAGTATTACTGCCTTTGACATGTGGTCAGCCCCGTTATGGCAGTGTGAACATATTTGGAGAACAAGTTGGCAGCATCAGCAAAATAGGTAAAGGCGTTGCCACTTCACTGCAATTCACTGCAACAGCTAAGCCCATTTGTCGCATCATTTGGCGAAATTTGTCCCCGTCGAAAAGAAATCAACACGTGCAGCGCATTATTGGCCCATTGGGTGCGAGTTGCGTACATTTGGCCGGGAAAGGCAAAGTTTTGGCTCCATTCGCAGTCGGGTCAAAGTGCCGGCAAATTAGCAATTCATAAACAAGCGGACAAACCAACAATTTCCCCCTATTTAAGCACTCGACTCGCTCACTTCGAATAACTCACTCGATGTCCGACTTCACTCTTGGCCAACTTGCGATTGTGCGCACTGTCGGAGCAGCGGAGCATGGAAATTGAGCGCAAATTGAGCGCATTTCGTGAGCGCTTTTGCACAGTTGAGTAATTGAGCAAAATGTACCGTTATTTCGTGCAGCACGTGCCACTAACAATAGCAACTAACAGAGTGCCCGACTAGCATATACCCTGAACACCATGACGAGTAGCTAAAAAAGAACTTTCTAGTTGATAACCAGCTTAAAATACGTACGTTTTAGTGTGTACAGAGGCACAAAGGGACGGACGGAGGGACATACAATCAAAGGATGGAAAAATATTATATAACTGACACACTTTCAGGCGGTCGGACGGACAGACAACTTGACGAATAGACGTACAGATAGACTAGATAGATTGGCATTGCTAAATTCAGTTCGTTGTCAGTACAGACCACAGAATATTTTATAGTCATCATTTCCATTTCCATTTCCATAATATTATGTAATATTATATTATGTAAGCGGGTCATCTTCAAAGGACTTCATGCATTTCACGTTAACTCACTGACCACAACGAGCAGCATCAGCAGCTGCCGGCAAATCAAATTGCCCCGACTTCATTTCCCTTTATTGTAGACACAGCGCACAGTGGAGCAAGTGCAATGAAACGACTTTGTTTCATGTAATACGTTACATTATTTATATTTATTTTGAAGGTTTATTCTGTCTTAATAATTGAATTCAAGTTTTGAGCGACTTCTCGAATGAACTAATTATTTCTCAATTATCTTTTTTAACAAAATTTTAACTAAGTAATTCGAAAAGATGTTCAACCTGGTTTTGGGTTGTACATATTTTGCGCCAGAGTTGCCGGACTTGTTGTCATAGCGAAAAGCGATTGGTCAGGAATGCTTTACGTAACCAAAAAGTTACCAGATTGACGGTCTTTGAAATGAGCTTGACTGGCGTTGCCACATCTAGGAGACAACTGCTTTCCTGCACTGTAATTATTTTTCATGATATATACAATTTGAACAACTTTACGTCAAAGTCTTACATGTCTTCTTCAAAGATTATCTGGAACCTTAGCTAATATATCAAGTTATATGATATATTTATTCAAATATATCGTTTATTTGCGAGTTTTCAGCTTTCGGGTTTGAATTTGTAAATGACGTAATGCTTGGAAACGCATTTGGCACATGCTCGTTACGTTACGTAAGAGCAGCATGCGAGTCACGTAAGCAGCAGAAATGTGGAACACAATAAAATGACAATAAGTAAATGAAGTAGCTAAACGAGCTCTTATTTCTAGAAAGAGGAAGAGAGAGGAAGCGAGAGTGAGAGGGTTGCCCCCACCCTATTGCAGCTCAAATAAGAATCGAATGATGTCAAGACATTGGCCCACTAGGCCAACTATTGCAATACAAAATATGTATTTATCTGTTTGTTCATCTCTTTCCCTCTTCCCGTCTCTCTTTTGCTCTCTCTCCTCCTCCTCCGTTAAGAGCTTGGCATATAAAAGCAAGACGAGCGCGTCGAGAGGCAAGCAAATGAATTCAACATGCAACTCGAGTGGATTATTTGTGTGGCTCTTGTTCTAGTTAGCAGTCAGACGAGTCGCGCCAACTGCACCACCAACAGCAGCAACAGCTCCTCATCGGCTTCAGATCAGCTTAGACGAGATATCGAACGCCTGTGGGCGCCCGCTCTGCAGGCGATCAATGAAGCTGAATTGCAGCGCCTCGGCAATCGGCCCCACGCCTCCGGCTCATCCCTGCCACAGCGCACGAATAGCAAGCGCATGAGATGGCGACTCAATAGCAAGCTGCTGGCCAGGCGGGCCGAGCGAAAAATGCAACATGTGGAGCCACGATCGGTCACATATCTGTCCAGCGGACCAGAGGAGAACAGCCCGAATCCCTCGTACATCGATGTTAAGGACTATGAGCCACAGCCAGCGGCTTGGTGGTTCTAAAAGCTCTCGATAATTAATCGAAAATGCGTTTATCGATATATAAATTCGATGGGAAATAGCTGTACCAAAATAACTTTTATTAAGTGATTTGTTTTTTTTTTTCGTTATATTAAGCTTTTGACTAAGCTCCTGTGCTTTGCTTGTTAGCCAAGACACAACCCATATTGTGCATAGCAGCCACCTTTTGAGTGACTTCAAATTTAATTTTGTGGCTTTTGCCACAAAGAAAATGAAATAAATGAACTTTTATTATAAAGCCATTTGTGCGGTTAAAGTTGGAGAGGACATGTAAAGATGCATACGAGGGAGAGCGAAAGAGAAAGAGAGAGATGTTGATGTCTATTTTAATTGGAAGTTCAAAAAGCTTTCGGCTGTATCTATTTGCTGAGGTATCTCGGCCACATCTAAGTTAGGGTCTCTGGCAGTCGCATAGTTTACGTTAACTGCCAGACAAAGTGAAATGCTGAATTGAGATGTGATTGATTGCGATTTTGATTTTGATTTTGATTCCAATGCCATCTGGAGGGCAGTCGTTGGGTCACTTCGCCACTTTGTTTATTTTGTGGGCTAATTTGCAGTTTGCGTACTTTTCTTGGACAGCAGTTGGCAACAGTTGGCCAAAATTCATGAGCAAATCAAAGTGCGCTTGGCTCTTAGGCCAACTCATTGGCAGCCTTGGCGCTAGGGCGTATACGTAATCGATCTTAAGAAAAGTCAATTCAAAGCGCATACCTAGCATTCCAAACCTGCAGATACCCTGTATAAATATACATATAGCGAGAGAGCTGTTTTGTTTCTTTAAGCCTTAGAGCTTTCTTTGCTTAGATCAATGCGAGCAAGAGGAATTATATTTTCTATATAAAATGATAGTTAACATTAGTTTAACAGCAATTTTCCAGTCCAATTTTCAGTCTTCAGCAAAAAAAAAAAAACCGCATTTCAAACTTGGGCTTATATAACAGCTTGATATACGCATATGATCCATAAGCCTCTATATAGAATATGCGCTCACCATGAGGCATGGTCAGTGACTACGGTCTGTTACCAACATTTTTGCATGCTATTTGCATAGTTGTTTTTTAGTTGATTTCGCATTACTTGATTTTTGATTTGCGACTGCGATTAATCGTTGCCAAATACGTTCATTTACTACTGGTAAATAATATACTTTATACGTATATATGTGTTTGTATCTAAATTTTTTCGTATTAACAAGGCTTGTTCGCAATTCGCATTACGAATTTTTAGATTTCGGTGTCTGTTGTCAAAAGAGGCAAGCAGAGCAGAACCGTGGCAAGGTCGACATAGACACAGACATAGACAGCGCGATCGACGCGTCGATTGGGCTCTTAAGCGGGGCAGAACTTCATTTAACACAGTTTATAATGTTGTTTCACGTTAGCTTTTGCAGTTGTACAAACAA